AGTATTTAGGAGAAAGAAGCTTGCTAATTTGCCTGTCTTGCTCCACTGTTTTGTGGCAACTGAGCGAACGAGGAAGATTAAATTAGCTGCCATAACGACTAAGCCATGTTTAATAAAGTTAAAATTGAGAGAACATCTTTATAAAATAGAATTCTAAGCCTAACACATTAATGGCGCTTAATGAACCAAAACTGGGTAAATCCCTTTGGAGAGCCAACACATAAACAAAGCTATTAATTAGGTCACAGTTGTTTCCCAACAAGCCTTTTGTTTGATTTACTTATAGTAAACAAAACCATATCCATCCGTCTTTGTGGAGAAGTATTCACCAGTGCAACAAAATGTAATTATTACACCTTAAGCACTTGCAATTACACGACTTTACGATGACAATGCTGTTGCCCTTCATTAGCATCCATCACTTCCCTAGCTGCTCCCCAACACTGGCCGCTGGCCTCTGGAGCATTAGGTTTTTGCGGCTGATTGACTTGTCTTTATGTCCTTGATGCATTCAGAATAACAGAACAGAGGTTGCTTGTTTTCTAGAAAGGGAATAGGTATTTCTAAAGCAAGCAAGAAAAATTTCTTTGAAAATCAAAGGTTTAAAATTATTGGCTGCCGTAGTTTCAATCTTGAATGTCCTCCCAAAGTACAGGTGTTGAAGGTTTGGTACACAGAGTGGGTGTTATTGGGAGGTGGTGGAACCTTTAAGAGGTGGGGCCTAATGGGAGGCCTTTAGATCATTGGGGGTGTGCCTTTAAAAGGTCTGTGAGACTCCAGCCACTGCCTTGCTCTTTTGCTGGTCATGTGGTGAGTAGTCCTGTTCCATCACACATTCCCACCATGGTGTGCTGCCTTACCACAGGCCCAAATGATCATAGACTGAAACCTCCAAAACTATAAGCCAAAATAAACCTTTTCTCTTTATAAGCTGATTATCTCAGATGTCTTGTCATGGTGATAGAAAGCTGACTGGCATACGGGTGTTCTGTTCAATTGAAAGCCAACTGATAAACAAGCTCTGGAATATAATAGAAGGTTTCACCCTGGGGTGGATGGAGCACAAAGGCCAACTCCCCATCTGTAAAAGTATGGAATGCACGTCTGTTAGGTTCCCTTAGGTCAAGTCCTTCCATTCCCTGTAAAAAAGCCAGCAATAGCAACCAGTTTAATTGACCACACTGACATTTCCTGGTAGGACCTCGTGTGACACTGCTGATGATCTTGTGGCAAGGGAACCCTAAATTGTTGATCTTCTCAACACTGGGGCTAGAAGAGGGAGGCCTACACATAAACAAAGCTATCTTGGGTCACAAAACAAAGCTATTAATCAGCTCATGGTGAAAAATGTAGGGTCATCTCAGTGGGTTGCACATACTCAAAGAGAACCCATGTCTAAGCTGACCTGTCCCAGGGTCTTCGCCATTCACGAAAGTGCTCAGGTCGCATCACAGAAACCAGCACTGACTCCTCTCTCTGCCACATTCAATCCATCACAGCCCTGTTTTGCTATTTACCCCATATCCCTTCATTTCACCATCTCCACTGCTAGTACCTTCCCCACATCCAGAGGGGAAGAGAGGGCACAATTGTCAGAGTGAGAGAGAACACTCATCTGAGAAACTGACACACAAGCAGTGTGGCTACACCTATTACGGAAAGAAGGTGGGCCCTGGAAAGGGAGGGAGGGGCCAGACCACGTACTGCTTCATAATCACGTGAAGGATTTAGAGAGACAGTCACCACAAGAGAGAAAAAAAATGAAGTTCTTACCAGGAGACAGTGGTAAGTAAAGTGTTCAACACATGGATATCTTTTGATACTGACAACAAAGCTATTGGTTAAAGGAAATGCATCAACCAGACCTTTAACCCTGTGGTCAAATGCCTTGACAAGATTTAGGATGATCAGTTGACAATTCTGTCAGATTCTGTCCTTCCCTGCTATATCCCTAACCAGTCAAGATGCCATCTGCCTCAGGCAGCTTTCTTGAGCCTGTAGAAACCAGGTCAAAGTGGATTCTAGGTTTCTTTTTTTCCCTTGAGTAGTAAACTCACTTCACTTAACTTGTTGCCCCCGAGTGTGCTCCGTCTCCCTGGAAGCTAGCATAGGTAATGCTGCAGCCCAGGATGTACCTGGAAGTGTTTGGATTCCTGTGCCTGGTGGTTGGCATGGTGATGACCTCTGCTCTCCTCTGTGCAGTGGGAGTCCTTCCCTGGGATTAGTGGACATGCTTCACAGAAAGGTTATTTTCCTATTTACCTTTTAAGAGCACAATTCCAGGAAAAGAAAGGCAATGCCAAACAATGTTTCTGGAATCAATGAGCATCTTAGAATGGTACACAATCACACACAGAAGTCTGCTGGAGCAGCCTAAGTCCTACTGTGATGCTGCAGTCAAGAAAAGGAGCCCCACTGCTTGAAGTCTAAAACATCCTCTAGTTTGGACTGCCCCACTCTTGTTGGACAGCTCAGCAGAGCTCACTTCTGAACATGTCCTGCTCTGGGGAGTAACCTGTTTCAATGCTGATAGCTGGGTATTTTATTAATTGTCCCCACTGGTAATCTCCTCTGATAATTCGTGTGAGATAGGGTGGGGGGTGATATCCCCAAACTTCCCAAGACATCTAAAGAGCCAGCTCCATTATTATTGGAATAGAGGAGCTTGAATATCACCAATGGTTAACAAATTTTAGTCTGGACCACCCAATCACAGTGTAAACTCGATCTGGGACTTTGCATATACCCCATGGGGGCTTCTTGAATCCATCAGAGCATCACTGGATTCTAGATAGAGGTGATGGGTAGGGTCCACAGATAACGAAAATCATGGGCTGGGAGCTGGCCTGGAAAAAAAAAACAAAGCTTGCTTTTCTGACTAGGTACGTTGGTGCACGCCTGTAATCGCCTGTAATCCCAGCAGCTCAGGAGGCAGAGACAGGAGGATCGCAAGTTCGAAGCCAGCCTCAGCAAAAGAGAGATGCTAAGCAACTCAGTGAGACCCTGTCTCTAAAATAAATACAGAATAGGGATGGAGATGTGACTCGGTGGTCGAGTACCCCTGGTACCCTAAACAAACAAACAAACACCTTGCTTTCCTTTGGGCTTACTGGAAGCCAAAGGCACTTCCTTTGAGGGGTGCTTTCCTCCTCACTTTATGAGTCACGTCATAAGGCTTACTGACAAGGAATAGGCAGCAACAGGAAAGGACAAAGAGAAGACAGGAGAGACAGAAGGAAAAGGGAGGGAATATGGAAGGAGAGACTGAATCAGGAAGAGCTAATCAAAACCGAAGAGAAGATGCTAGACAGATATTCAGAGACACAGCTGGGCGACTGCCATGTGTGCAGCCCCTGGGGCCACCATGGGGGGACTCCCTGGCTAGCCCCTACAATCCCTGAGCCCCAGATCTGCCTTTCTTCACCCTGACCTGGGGCACACCCCATTCATAGGCTCTTTGGCCCAACGCCTCTGCTAGGTCCTGCCAGTAGGGGCACTTCAGGGAGACCAAGGTGGGACACAGGTATTAACCTCCCGGCACTCCAGCTCCTGCTAGCACCACCCTGGCCTCCAGCCTCCACGTCCATTAGCACATCTGGAACCAGCCTCATGATGCTTCCTCAAAAACAGCGCCCCCAGCTAGACAGTGGGCCCTCCTCGGAGAACTGAGCACCAACAGTTGAGCAGCCCTCCTCTGATCGCCTGGGACTGAGATCTGTCCAAGCTACCTCCTAAGTATACCTCCCCAGTGTTTCTCTTCATGCTCCCAGTCCTCTGATTCCTATGTAACAAGTTTCCTATATTAAATCCTCTGTCAAAACTGCTTTTCTGATTAGGCTGTTTTAAAATATTATTTTTAATTGTCGAATCATATTTGTATTACTTGTATGTAATACACACAGTGATAACATACACACGGGATGTGGAACGACTGAATCAAACTAGTTAGCACGACCATCACCTCAGTGGCGAGACACCTGAAATTTACTCTTAGATATTTTGAAGTATACAATATGTTAGGATTGATTATAGTTATCCTGCTCAAAATTTTGTACTTTGTGGGAAACTTTGTACTCCCCACTCCCAGTCTCTGGTAAAGTCCAACCTTCCAAGATTCTACAGATGAGGGAGATCATGGTGGTATTGGTCTTTCTGTGCCTGGCTTATTTCACTCAGCCTAATGTTATGTAGGAATATTGTCTTTTCTCCAAAGACATAATCTTCCATTTTAAGGCTGAAGAGTATTCCACTGAGTATAAATATCAGTTTCCTTACTCATTTACCGACTGATGGAGACTTAGGGTGGTTCTATACCTTGGCTACTGTGAATCAGGCTGCACTGAACCTGGGTAGGTAAATACACCTTAGAAATACTGATTTTATTTCCTTTGGACATATACCCAGAGGTGAAATTGTTCGATCCTATGGAGGAACCAACTTACTGTTTTCCATGATGGCTGTGCTAATTTACATTCCCACCAACAGTGCACAAAATATTTTGCTGAAAATGTTCTTCTCTGGATCGTCTCACACACCCATTTCTGACAGAACACCTTATGAATGTCCAAACAGTTGAGAAACTGGAACCTTAGCCAACAACTTCCCAGCATTATAAATGAAAGGCTGATTTTTTTTTTTTTTCTGAAAAGCTAAACAACCGTGACACAGAGAGAAATGATACTATCCCACCCCACTCTAGTATGAACTTTGGCATCATCAGCCATCTCTTACATTTGGGGTATTTTCATTAGTTGGCCATCTAAAAGAAAAATGGCAACTCAAATAAATTTTTAATACAAAAATAGGCAAAGAGATGTACTGGCAATATTCCTTAATAGCAATGAATGTGCAATTAGATACTTGAGCTATTGTCAAGAGTGAGAGGAAAGATTATCAGAGTAACTTATTGGGGGATTTCTGTCAACTTTTAACATAAGGGATAAATTGAAAAAAATTAACATACATAGAAGCTTCTGGAATTCCACAGGGGAAGGACTCACCATTATCCTGTCACTGTCAATAATGGTGTTCAGCCTGTGCGCAATGGTGAGCACAGTACACTGCGCAAACTTCTCCCGGATTTTTTTCTGTATTAACTCATCAGTTCTGGAATGAAAGAAGGTAAATTTGATTCAGTCCAGATGGGAAAAGTAGACTTATGACTTAAAAAGATCATACAGTATTTTTAATAATGTTTCAACAATCAAAATTGTAAGATATTCATAAAACAATGGAAAATACGTTCCCTTCTAAACTGTTTCAAACTATCAAAAGTGAAATTCAGGAATGAGTTTGCACAAGGTGCCTGATCCAGGTTGAGGACCCCTTATCTGAAATGCTTAGAACCCAAAGCATCAGGGATTCTGGAATTTTGGAACATGTGCATATATAAAATGAGATACATAGCCTGAAGGTAACTTTGTACAATATTTTTAATAACTCTGGCATGAAATAAAGTTTATGTATTGCAGTGAAAGGGGAAAGGGTCTACCCCGCCCCCCAGGGACAATGAATAAATCATGTGTTGTATTTTGAGTCACATGAGCTCAGGTGTGAAATTTTTCACTTGTGTTTGTCACATCAGGACTCAGAGTGTTTTGGATGTTGAAGCATTTCAGATTTTTTTTAATTAGAATGCTCCACCTGTAACATCAACTGCACTGTAAAACACATCCTTTCTTCCTCTGTTTTCCAGAATAAAGATTATCAAGATTCATTTTGGGGGGTACACAAAGAACTTAGAAACATTTCTCAGCATCATCACATGCTTCTCATTTACCACATTTAAAATCCGTATTCATCACTGTTCACATCCTTCACCCATCAATTGAAAGAAAGAAATTCATATTTGCTATTACGTCGACTTCAGCTCCATACCGTGGGTCCACATTTGCGGTCGCTTCATCAATAATCAATATCCGATTTTTCTTCAGAATTGCCCTGGCAAGACACACCAACTGTCTCTGTCCAACACTAAAATTGGATCCTGATTCAGCCAATTCAGTATCCATTTTACCAGGAAGATCTTCAATGGTTTCTTTAAGCTGTACCTGCAGATACAGACAGAAGAACAACATTTTCCTAAACAAATTACCACTGAAGCAGGCAAGTCTCTTAGACATTAGAGCTTTGAAGTTCTTTCTCTCAGAAGGCATGTCTTAAGTGTACAGCCTCGGGATGGTGAGAGGTGTATCCAGTCGGCATTCATTAGAAAGATGGCTGAGTCAACTCAGAACAGAAACTGTCTGACTTACAGAGAACAAACCTAAGGGGACCCACTTGCTTCTCAGTCACCATCGACAGGCACTATTTGCGCTGGGTCATGAATTAACACTGCTGGTGCACACATCACTTTAAAAATGTACTATGTGCTAAATAAAATTATTCTCCAGGTAAAATGTAGCATGATGAAAATGTCCCTCCTTAGATTTTAGTTTAAAGGTAAGTGCTCCTTATCTTCAATGGACAAAAACAGAACAGCGGTTGGCTAGGGAGTAGAGGGCTGACTATAAACGAACACAAGGGAACTTATGGGGTGACAGAAATATTCCAAAACTGAAATTCTGAGATGGATGCAGAACTCTAAAAATTTACCAAAACCACTGAATCATACTAATAAAGGGAGCATGTTCTGGTATGTAAATTACACCTCAATGAAACTGGTGCAAAGAAATGATCTCAGTGCCCCCATCACCTGAATCTCCTCCTGCCACGCGACATTCACGGAGACCTCCCAGGAAGTCTAGGGAGTCTCTCATAATCAAGTTCTTTCTCCCAACATACAGAATGTCTCTTTAAAATAAGTAAAACAGATCTTACAGTGGAGTCTAGGCATAGGACTCAGTACACATAAAGGAAAATAGAAATACAAAGTCACTGCAGGAACTAGGGTTCTCTGAAGAATACTCCTAGGTACTTCACGATTGTGGAATATTTTAATCACCTGGAAAACTTTTTTTAAAAATTCAAAGAATGGGACTCTGCAGGTCAGAATCGAGAAACCTGGAGCCTGTTCTGGAGATGGTTCATTACCAAATTGAAATCCTGAATTGCTAAAGCTGTTGCATGCATCTGCTTTGGTCTTACACAGGCACTGCAGAGAATGGAAACCCACAAACGACAGGAAACAGCATAACACCTTCTTACCCCAGACTATGGAGTGTTCATACTAATCATCTTTGCAAAACAACAGTTGTAGGGTGATGTGAGACTACGTTGGGTGGGAGGTTTGTTCACTGAATATTTTTTTAATGAAACCTTTTAGAAGGAGAGCCAAACTCAAGGCTATACTTAAGAGATACTGAAAGGCAAAGGGTCAATACACCTTACTTTAAGAAATCAGCAGATTGGTGAGTGATGGCCATGGAGCAGGTACAATGATACTGTAAGAAAGGAAAACACCAAAGGCAACGCTTCTCAAAATGCTGAAGCACTTTTATGAATGTGCTCTTGAGTTGAGTTCATGACAGAGAGCTAGCCACAAAAAGTGGGAATTCTGAGTTAATATTAAATATAGTATCGGTTCTTGTTACTAGCGTGAGAGATGGGGAAACACAGAAAATCTGAAGTATAAGATTTGGATTGTGGTGCAAGGCCCTATACTGAAAATGATAGTGCCAGCTAGGATCAGTCCCCTCCATTACAAGGAAGAGAAGCTACCAAACATTGTTCTCATGGGAGATTCCTAGATCTGCACTCCATACTGCCACTTATCAAAGGTTAGTGGTGGCAGCTGTCCCTTTTAAGTGGCCTTTAGGAACCCTGGTACATGAATTCTTCTCAAGACCAACAGCCAGACTTGGGAGAAATAATCTCTTCCCCTTCCCTGACTAAGGTGACATCTGGTCACTTATTGACTTTTTATTTTCCTTCAGGTTTCAATGTCTACCTGAAGAGGAATAAGGGTTTTTGAGGTGAAGGACAATGAAATATGTCTTCCAGAAAACAATGTCTTCTGGGACGGTTGTCATCAATGGATCAGGGACAGTGGGAAAAAATGATGTGAATATGAAGGTGCTCTGCAGTGCTACCATATGTTCAAGTTATGATTAGGCATTAGAAGGGAGGGAAGAACCATGGAGGCAGAAGACGTATCTGATAGAGGAATTACATCACTAATGAATTTCGTGAGTGAGATGAGTGTCAAGTTATGTAGGAGAATGTCCCTGGTCTCAGGAGAATGGAGTTACAAATTCAAGGGGGAAATCGCAACTTAACGAATATATCTGCAATTTATCTTCGAATGCTTCAGCCAGATAAAGACAGACAGTACCAGACAAGAAGCAGATGTAGTAAAATACTAACATCTGGGGAATCTACACAAAGGGTATGTGTGCTCCTCATACTCTTCCACCAACCTGTCTGTGGGTGAAAATTCTAAATAAAAAATTGGGCCTTTGAAGCCAGACAGCCTGGGCTTGAATCCTGCCTGGCTCCGCCAAGTAGGCAAGAAAGTCGAACTTTCTCTATCTTATCTTCATAACCTGCAATGAGACCTGACATTACTAGAATCAATAAGTCGGTCTCCAAACACTGTGAAGTATAACATGACATAGTATGTGTAAGTGCCTAGTGCCTGACATGAGGTGAAAGGTCAACAGACATGGTGCCAGCCAGCTCTCCTGATGTTCTGTTTTATTTTGCTTCACTGCAGCTATAAGTAGCTAACTTTGTATCACATATGCACTGGCTTATTTTCTGTATTCACAAGAATTTAAGCTCCAGGGGTAGTTGGGAGGGAGGAGGTTCTTTGCCTTAATAACTAGTATACAGAAGCTTCAAGATCCACAAGGCCTATGGAATGTGCTCTCAACCAATATCTGTTGAATGTATGAATGAAGCCACAAGCACATCTCAAGACATGTCCATTCCTATTAATTAGAAAATAAATCCACATGGACATGTACTTTATTATATGAAATGTCACGTTATTACTAGATATTGTTGTAAAGGAAATTTATTCCTTATAAAAATTAGCTGCCCCCAGGATATCATAGTAGTATATAAAATGTGCAAAACATTTTTTAAAAACTATTTATTTCTGGAAAACTGATTAAATAACATAGTATTCTAAACTATGGATGTATAACAGTTCGAATACTGAAAATACACTGAACTTATAAGACACCCCAGAACCATTGTCACGCATGCTGTCACCCACTGTGTGCACTGTATCTCCTGGGCATCAGTGACCCTCAAAAGAGATTGATGTGGATGTCAGGGTCTGTTCATGGGACTTTTTTAACTTCACACAAGAAAAGCTGATATGGGCTGGAAGGAGAAGAGGGACTAAAATTTGATCAACAGATGGAGATGAGCTTTTGACTAGAATACAGGCAGTGGGAAATGGGGTGAGGGGAGTCCATGACTGAAGTCCATGGCCCAGGGGCTGCAGAGTGTGGAGGAAGGTTGGCTCCTGGGTATGTGCATGGCTGATGTTCAGATTTCTGTATCTCGGTTTCCTGTGTAACAAGATGTACTTTTATCCTAATAGAGATACCATCAATGTTGAACATAACTGGATGATTTCTCTGCCATTCTGACAAGACATACCCTACTCTCAATTTTCCATTCCAATATTAAAGTTGTTTTATAACAGAGGTAACACGCTGCTCATTCATTTTTGGAGTTTAACTGCTGGAATCCCTTGACCATTTTTAATACACTGCTTTCATCTCTGGTTTTAATTTCTATTTATGCAGCTGCTGTTGCTGCTTCTTAGATGCCCATGTTGGCATGAATTCCAATAAGATATCTTCAGTTCACAGCTATTTTGTAGTATTTAAGGCAACTTTCAGTATATTTAGAAAAATAACCAAGAAGAAATGAGCAATGTTCCAAGGACTCTCCTTTGTGAAGGCCAAACTTACTTTTCTACCTCTGTTACTTTACTCTCCAAGGGAGAAGGGGGAGCAAGAAATAAGAGAAATCTTTTTCTCCATTTTAACTTTTCGTTTTTACTTTCAGTTGTTAGAGAGGTAACAACTGAAGTGTTCGCTTAAGCAATCTCATTTGCCTACCCTGTGGGTTTGGGTTTCCATTTCCAACTGGTATCACTCATAAACGAACTGGTCAGGGTTTTCAGTCCAAGTTTCCTGTTTGTTTTGCTTTTTGGTGCTGGGGACTGAGCTCAGCGCCATACACATGCTCAGCAGCTCTACCACTGAGCCACATCCCCAGCCAGGCTCTGTCAGAAGACCCTGAGATTACAAGGATTCCAGGGTAAGAAGCTCTGACTTATCAGAATGACGCCAACCTCCATAAACTTGTGGTCATGAAACTCTAATTATTTCCATGAAAAACTCACAGGGCTTCACCTGCTATCAGATCTGGGCCTTTTACACCAACCAGATGATGAAAGTATCTAAGTACACTAGAAAAAACTGAAAAATGCAGAAAAAAAGTTTAAATCACTCATTTTAAAAATAATCCTAAATAAGCAATGTGATTAGCTTGGTGGCAACATTTCTAAGGTGCAGGTTTCAGATTACATGCATGATTAAGAATAGGTGGAACCAAACTGCAGATATAATGCTATGTCGTAATTTTTTGAAAATCTACCAAATCTTTCATTTAAAAAATAGTATACACTGTGACAAGGAATTCTTAGAGAAAGACAATGATGAGTGATTTCTTACTTCTAAGATTTCACTAAAGCATGAGGTCAATTCCAGAAAGAATACACAGATCCACTTGGAAGGCAGGTCTGTCAAGGTGCACATCAATATGCCCATGTTATTCCCATTTATAGGAAGCTCTGAATGCAGTTTAAACAAAGGTAGACCTCAGTATTATCTGCCACTTTTCATTGTCAGAATTCTGAGAGGCTACTAAATTTTATTTTAATGAAATAAGTGTAAGTTACAGTCAAGTAACAATAAGTGTAAGTTACAGTTAGATGGCTTTGGATTGAGATGTCTCCCAGGTAGGAATTTTTCACTGTCCATGTTACAGTGTGTTTCTAAAGTAATTTTGCTATCTGAGAATCTGTAAAGAGCAATATCAAACTGTGAGGCAAACAAAAAAATAATTAGTAATTCCTGTTCTCTTAGGGCATGTCACAATATCACTGTTAAGTGTGTCCTGTGAATTCAAGAGCAGGGGATTGTCTTATCTTTCTCTACCATCTCTGATGGGTAATGGGTAATGTCCTCCTCGCTCTTCTCTCCTACAATTTCACTCCAGAAAGACTCACACACTTAAATGAAACCAGAGGCCAACTGTTTCTCTGGTAGGAAATGATGAAGTAATCAACCCAATTTAGGACAATAAAATCCCCATGGTTGCTGGAAAGCAGGATGGATCTGTAAAGGCTTGGCACTGACATGTCTTCAGGAGCAAGAATTACTGGCAGGAAGTTGTCAGGCCTCTAAGTCTGCTTGCTCTTCGGCAGAACCTATCTTTAAATTAAAGATTTCAGAGCTAACCCCAGAAGGGTGACAAGGACAAACACACCAATCAAAACAATAACAACAAAGAGGATATTATCGCTGAAATTATGTTTTTTTTTATTAAACCATACTTCTCTGAAATGAAGATCAACCATTCAATACATATTCATTAAATGCTTAATTTTGAAAACTAAGCATTTATTTAGATGAACACTAAGCTAGGTCCTAGGAGGGATTAGAAGTCAAAGATATGGTTTCTGCCATTAAGTAGCTTAGAATTAATTTGTAGAACTAGGGTGAACATGCAAAGTAATCACAAACCAACAACACCCTTAACAGTTCAAATCCTTTCCCGGTGAGGGCAAGGAAATTTAAGCAAGTAGTTTACAGTGAGCCCCTAATCAAATAATAGAAAACCCTCTAGAAACAAAGGCATCAGTATAAAACCTTAGCAAAGGCTACAGGGTTCTGTCAATTGAAGTCACTCTTCAGTATTAAAATGACATGTTGGCCAATAAATTATTATTATCACATTCTATGTGTATAACTTACCTTTATAAACACTTTCCTCAACAATTTCAAAGAATTTCCTAAGTATGATCTCATCTATCTTTCAGGTAATACTGAAAAGCTAATGCTTGTCTCTACTTCCAAATATTCCCTAGGAACACAGCAGTAAAATCAAAGTTGCAGGGCACTGAGTCCCTAGAAATGAGACACACAATTTCTAACTTAGATACCTGAATAAGAACAAATAAGATAATGTACTGAGTTACAGGCAGAAAGTTAAAATGAGAACATAAAATGCTTTATTTTTGGTTTTTATCATCTTCCATTCATACCTTTTATTTATGTTATCAATGTTTCCAAGTGATGAACCCAGTTAAACTGATCAGCAGCCCTCAGTTATCTGCAACATTATTTACACACACACACACACACACACACACATATACACTGATGCTAACCAATAAAAGATAATTGCACTTTATAAATTACCTCCTCTAAGGCATTCCATAGTTCCTCATCTGTGTGCTCATTAAAGGGATCCAGGTTTTTCCTCATTGTTCCCGTGAACAAAACAGGCTCCTAAATGTCCAAAAGAGTGAATATCATTACTGTTGTCTCTTCTCATTTTATTCCAATGTTCACTTTCAGGCTAGAATTAAACTATGAAAACAAAGCAAAGCAAAACAAAACCAAAAAACCAATATTCACTAGAATCATTGATTAAGGTTGCAAATGCCTGTTTATAAAACAACACCTCTACAAATTTCCCATTGAACACACCGGGCTCCACATATCTTCCAGACCACGGAACACTAACAGAAGCAACGATTGCAGGGTGCCCTCTTAAGAAAACGAAGGTGCAAAAGGGAGATCTGGTTTTTACAAAAGGTTCCTGGGTAATATCAGTAGAAACGGGAAATATACGTATTTGAGGAACGTTACATCAATGGAACTACTGAAATTATCAATTCTGGATGATGCTGGAAAATACCAACCAACCACATGATTAATTGAAGTTTATGCTTCAAAGAAAAATTGGCATTTTCTCCATCAGTAAAATAGTCTTCTGTATCGGGGATTTCTGTGTGTCCAAATGGGATGTTCTGTCCTTTGTCCAAAGGGGACATGAACTAATGAGGCCAGTGGCACCTCTGCTCATGAAGAGATCACCTCTGATGTTGCATTAGCTGACCCCCATGTTATCTTGTCTACGTATCAGGGTTACCTGTCTCTCAGAACCTCATTACTAATGACAAGGGTAAGGTAACCTGAAATCCTTTGTAAATCACATCACGTAATAACATTATTTTAATTTAAATAGTTCTTCTATTCATCTGCTTTAGGAGGCACCCACAATTAAACTGCTCTTAAAATACATGTCTCCTTCTGAATTTCAAGAAAGAATCTTGTCCATAAGCTTCTATAGACTGTAAATGTCCCTTCTGGCTCGAGCCACTCAGGACACAAGGGCATGAACAGCAAAGAGCCCAACTGGCTACTTTCAGCAAAGATGGCAGAACCACGAGGTGTGCAGATGTGGGAAGCAGAGAAGCCCTGGCTCTTCCACAGGTGCCAGAGAACTGCTCCAGGAAACCACAGACTCAAGTCTCTCCCAGCCTGGGGCTGGACCTCTAATACAAGAGAAGTGTCATTCACCATCTCAGTTCTAAGAGGTGAGGGAGAAGTGGACACAGAAGGTCAATGGTTTGCCACCTAAAAACAGGCATCCCTAGACAAAATACAAAAATTGAAGACATTAAAGTAGGTGTTTTATTTGCACAAAGTTGATTAAGATGCCCCCAAAGCACTGAAAAACCACAGATACCATGTTTCAAATGACTACTGAATTGAACAGAAAAATCCCAGGTGCTTTGTTTAAGGTCTTGCCTAAAACCAACAAATTTAAGACTTAAGACTGAATAACCATCTACACAGGAATGGGAATCTCTTGTCAGGGGTATAAGCATAATTCTATTGACTTCAGATGATTAAAACAAAACAAAACAAAACAAACCTTGGTCAATACCAACTTAGAGAGATTCCAACACGCAGAACATTCGTAATCCATCTAATTGTTCACACAAGGTTCACAGAAACAAAGTGGCCAGGGGCAATGGGGCTGCTATCACCCCTTCCTCTCTCTCTCCTCCCACTTCCCCACAAGGGTCCACACTGACAATGACATCCCACTCAGGGGCGTATACTGAGAGGCTCTCAGGATGGGTAGACAGAGGGGATAGAAGAACATAGGCTCAGAAGCAGTGCTAGCCACATAGAGAAGAGGGAGGAGGTCTCTGCTTTATCAATGACCTGGATAGTTTTTTCCTTCAGGTTTCTCCCATAGAGCAAAATCACATCCACTAACATATCCATGGTTTGATCCTCGTGGGTTTTTACAAAGAACCCTTTTGAGAAATGAGATCTAAGCTGATGTATGAAAAAACTGCTTTGCTTTTTGTAGTCTGACCTTCCTTTCTTTGCTAAAAGGATGGGAAGGGGCCTAGTATTAGCGATTTAGGGATAGTGGTTTGGTGGCTCAGGAGAACTGCACAGGAATGCATCAGTGAAGTCCAAGCCCCTATTCCTTCATCAGGGCCCTGTGCACATCCCCTCCCTCACCTTCTCCCCTTTAGGAACCCCCTTGAAATGGACGAGTCCCTCCAAAGAACAGGGACTAACATGAAGTCCTTCCAGCTCCAGGAGTTGTGCGCTCCAAGCCCCTGACCATCAGCTGCCCTATGCTGTGTTCTGAACTCCGACCTTAGGCACATGGGCCCCAGGGAGGTTTGCTATCCTCATCAAGTCACTGCTGATTGGCATAAAACCACAGAAGTGAAGTTCAAGCTCTTCCCACTGCGAGAGGGGTCCCCACTTAAATCTATACTATCAATTTAAATGGAAAATTTATCACTCATGTTCATTTAGGCAGGAGAAAATAGTTAAGCAAATAAGAACATTTTTCATTATGACATGCCGAATACATATTTCACTGAGTAAAGTTTCAATCAAAACTTGTTGAATGAGAAGAATGATTTACTAAAACATTAAGTGATTGAAGCTGTATTTTTCTTTAAAACCAGCAGGCAATTTGTTCAGTGTCTATTTTACTACACCAGCGTGTTTTATGTATGGTATTGGTTTCTGCTCATTCTACTTTCATCCACCTGCCAAAGAAGAAACCATTATATTATCTTCCAAAGGTAATAAAGTGCTCATAGCAGACACATATTGCAACAGTAGATAAGGGTCAAATTAATTATCACTTCTGATAGATATTATTATTTAACATGTCTACCTTTGTGCAATAAAATTAATAAACTAATCTTATAAATAAGTGTTGTAAAAACGTTTGCAGGCAGAACATTCAGCGTGGGGATTTATGGGAGGACACACAACCCTCTCATAAATATGTGCAAAATTTATTAGCCTAAGTATATTTTTTGTGATGGTACATATTTAAACCTCATTTAATGAGAGTTTTACTTTAACCCCTACAGTTAGCTGCTGTGGTTCAGTTAGGAAAACAATTGCTGTTGTTCAATATAATAATTTAAATTGAGGACCAGCATCAAACCTGTTTTTCATAACAGTTTTGAAAGTTCACACATTTTATTTGTGCTTTGAGCCACATTCAGTAGATAATTTTCCCTCTATTACTAACATAACACAAATCATAATGGATAAGTGGCCCAGGAGTGGCCATTCTGCATCAAAACCTTTAGGACAGTAACTGATAACCCCTTGACAGAACTCTCACCAGACCTATCCTATGTATTGACTGGGAGACAGGCCTCACTTATCCCAAGAAACTCTCCCCACTCACCTTCAGACACTTAAGAAGACCTGAGACCAAGACAAAAACTGCTACAAACTAGCAAGATGAAGCACAACTTTACCCTGATCTTTTTGGGTCACCAACCAGGCAAATTCATCTATGACTGCTGCTTCCCCAGTGTCCTAACAGCTGCAACTGTTTCATGTTAGAATCCGTGGGACCTTTTTTGAGGGTCGAACATCTCCTGGTCTCAAAAACCAGGGAGTTACCTAAAGTCACTTTAAGTCTTGGTTCCCGCCCCTGAGTTTTTTTTTTAAATCCTGTAGCCTCAGAATGAACTGATCATCATCCATTTTCAGAAGAAAAGAACATTGTTAGTCAACAAAGGAAGAAGAATTTAAGTCCTGTAAAGTCTTCTTTAAATACAAAAAGGTCACCAGCTCCAGGGAGCAGTTTCACTGCCTTTAATGAAGACTTCACTGTGCAGAAAACAAAGGTCGACTGCATTAGGCTGGGATCCCATTGTATTTCTTTACTAGTAACAGCATACCTTTTCTCTTTGAGTTTTGTTCTCAGAAAGAAAAATCGGGTGGGGGAGAGAAAAGAAAGAAAAAGAAAGCCAGGTAATCCAAAAGAAGTCTTAAAGAGACATTGCTCTGCTTACCCTGTTCAACCTACTAAAGAAAACTGGGAGAAAAGAACTACCAAAATAGCAGAGTGGACTGCTTAAAAAATACCTGGCTATTGTTCTGAAACAAATAAAAAAAAAAATCTATTCAATGTAAAAGAGAAAATCTGTCTGATCATGATAAAGTTGATAGCTGTTGATGTGCGCCAACCCTCAGGGTGTGATCATAAACGATGAATTTGCATGGAATTATTCTGCAATTGAAAACATTTTTTCTTTGTGCCCACAGGATAGGGGCTCTAGGTGTCACGAATCCATCCAAAAAAGGTTTTGAAATCCATTCTTCCAGATACTTTCTGATAAGCAGTCTATTCCCGGAAAACAGCCCCACCTTGGGGTTCTCTTTGGGGAGTGCATTAACCATTTCGAATCCATAGCACTAATGAACTCTACTCTTCTGCAACCTACTCTGGGGAATATTTTCATGGTCGGTTTGTTTATTTCTGCAATTTTGAACACATATGGAGGAGTCCCTTCATAAGGACACAGTGTTGGTTTTTTTTTTAAGTGACTCTAGGTTGGCCCCTGGCTCTGTATGGACCACTGTATATCACCATTCCTGAGCCCGTACCTAAGTCCTGAACCCCTAATTCAGAATTGCTCATGGACAGGTTCAGAAGGAGAAAGGAGGACCCCGAACCATCAGCTAAGGGGAGATGCACAAGAGAGAGACGACCAGGAGCTGGGAGCTTGCTGCTCCAGGATTGGGGGTGGGTGGCAACAAGAGGCAGCACTGGATTTGCCTTTTACTATGTCCCCTCCAAACTTCTAAGTTCCTCACCAGGGTGTTGCAACACTAGAAACCACGCCTCAAAGCTTGTTTGGGGGGGTAGGGGGAAGAGGGCCACATGATTTCTGCACTGCAAACCCAGTGGCCTTCAAGTCACCTTGACAACAGGTGTTCTCAGCCCCTGCAGCCACTAAGTCCTTGTCAGAGAAAGGGCTCTGTACTCCAGGAGCTCAGGCTGAGAGTACCTGCCACCATGAGCCATGATACAGAAATGAACCCATTTCTAAAATGCTTTTTTTTTTTTTTGAAGAGTGTCAAACATTTTTATTCTCCTTATTGCCTTTTTAAAAAAAATTAATTTGGGGCTGGGGTTGTGGCTCAGCAGTAGAGCGCTCGCCTAGCACGTGCAAGGCCCTGGGTTCGATCCTCAGCACCACATAAAAATAAATAAATAAAAAATTAATTTAACTTTTTACACAAACAGAGCACAACTTTTCATTTCTCAGGTTGTATATAATGTAGAGTCACATCATTTGTGCAATCATACCCGTACACAGGGTAATAATGTCCGTCTCATTCCACTATCTCCCCACCCCACCCTCACCTTCCAAAATGATTTTTAGACCTGAGTGCCACTCGAGATTTCTGGCAAAAGAAACCACACAAAAATCCAGCCTTTCAAAACCAGCAAACTGCCAAAGAGTGACGAAGCTCTAAGAGAAGGCACCTTCAGCTTTGCTCCATGTTGATTCACTTTGATTAAGCCTTGGGGGAATCCCTTTCAGTGGTGAAAAGCCATGCAATTGGTAGAATATCTGATGAGATGTCATTCAGTTCAACAAACACTTATTGAAAAAAAAAAAAAAAATTTCTAGAGTCTGATAGACCTGAGTTTTGATTCTACATATAAGTCATTGGCCTCGCGGTAAATACTGAATCTCTCCAAGCCTTGGTTTTTCTTCCTGGGACATGGGGCTTGCCCAGCCTACCCTGTGGGGCTGCCCTGAGACGTGGTAGCCTAAAGGAGGCTTCTCACAAGGGGCAGCAACAGCCTGGCCAAGCAGGGCAGAACAGAGGGGCACAGCGTTTTAAAACTGCAGGTGCGACCAATGGATCATGAAATCAATTTTGTGGCTCGTGATCATCATTTTGTCTTTTATACGAACTAGAATAGAACGGATATAATAGAAAATATCAGAGCGCAGGGCACAGAGTGATAATGTTTTATGAGATTTTAATTTCTGGGCACGTGTGTGTGCAGGGGTTTAAACACGGGCCTGCACTGGGATCAGGATGCAAGGAGATTCCTCCCGGGGACCCCGGTCTCGGTAGCTTTTCAGCAGTGTTGGCGAGGCTCAGATGCTGAGGAGCTCCGGGAGTTCGCCTGGAATCCTGGCACTGCCACTTCCTGGTTGAGCAAGTTAAGCTCTCTGTGACTCAGTTTTTAAATCTGTCACATGAGGGTGACAATAGAATTATTGGGAGGATTAAGTGAGAGGTGGTGGGGAAAGAAGTTAAAACATGTGAAGGATTTCACAAAGGTGAGGAATCATTAGTTCTGAGTAACTTGTCAGGGGTGGCCACAAGCACCGGAGCCCTGGAAACAGGAGAAGCAGCCTACGTCCTCAGAAAGAGAAAACAGCAAGGAATGTGGGCCATCGCCTGGGGGTGCGGGGTGGTTTGCAAAGGGTGACTGGGGTACAAAGCAGCGATCAGAAAAGTGGGGTGGGAGGAAGCCAGAAAACAAAACAAAGAGATGGCTTCACCATTTGTTCATTCTTGAGAAAAACAATAGATTTCCCTCTCGGGCTTAATCCTAGGGCCATCTAACAGTTTTTCTGCTGCTTTGCTATTTACATTTAAATAATTTGGTTTAAAGAAAATCACCAAGGACTATAAAAACATAAACACAAATTAGGGAGCCAACTCATTCCAGAATATTCTACCAGTTTTAATTAAGTAGTGATCATCCCTAAATGGCCAGTGTTGTTCACTGGGCCACCTACATTTTTTTGCATGCAGTCAAATCTTCACGTTGAATCTGTTGGGTATAGTCACTACTAGACACAGCTTAACAAGGACACTAAGGCTGAGTGACTTAATTCAGGTCTCACACTGTAGGAGGCAGAGAGGAATAAAAATGTGGGTCCTATAGATACTTTGTCCACACTCTGAAGCAGTGGATCCTTGCTGCCCTCTAAATGGCTTCCTGGGAAGCCATACTCACTACAACTATGTTTCTTCTATCAACCAACATTGCACCTTGGAGACAAAGTAAGATAAAGGCAAAATATAAAGGATCCGTGTTTACAATGCTTGGCGATCATGATCTACATGGATACAAAGCGTAGCACTGTTTTGTAAGTATTCTCTCTGGAATAGACACACAGAACATTTGCACAAAAGGAGGGTGGGAACTTATGGAATAGAACCAAGACCTGGTGATGTCAAGGTGTACTTAGTCTTTGCTCAGATGTGCTTCCAAAACATTCCCAGCAGAGCCAAGAATCATCTAACGCTATTTCTTTATTTAGAGTTCTTTTATGTACACAAGCATACAACCATTTCTTATTAAGAAGCATTAAAAGTAATGTAGGGCACGTTTCTAGATCCTTTCATCCAAGGATATGAAAGGACTTGGCAGACACACCCCTCATCTCTGCTAAATAAATTTCCTTTGGCCCATTTCTGAGATGGGTACAAACAAAAGACATAAGCTGGGAATTTAAATTTTGATTTTCTACTGTAACCATGAAGTCATAATTAAAATCTCTAGATGGAATCTTGTGTGCCAGAAAATTTCCTCCATTTTTTTTCTGAAAGGATTATCTTTTTTTTCAAAAGGGTTATCTTATTTTCAAAAAAATCTGTGGAAAAACACACAAAACATGAAATGACACAAAACATGAAACACACCTTAACTGTTTTTAAAGTATATAGTTTTGTGGTATTGAGTGCAATTACACAATCGTCACCACCATCCATTCATGGGACTTTTTCCATCTTACAAAACTAAAACAACTCCATGTCCTGTCTTCCCTCAGCCCCAACAACTGCCACTCTACTGTCTCCATGAACCCAGCTGCTCACAGAGCCTTGTACTCTAGACCCATCCAGAACTCCGTGACTGGCTCATCCCACTCAGCACAATGTCTTCAAAACGTATCCTTGTTGGAGCATGAGTCAAAGTGGCCTTCTTTTTTTTAATACTGAACAATTTTCCATTGTTCATATAAATCATTCTTAATCCATTTATCTGTAGACAGACACTTGGGGTTTTTTCCAGTCTAGGCTGCTCTGAAAACAGCCATACCAACATCTGAAGACCCTGCTTTCAATTTTTAGACCATCTGGTGACTCTACTTGTAATTCTGGAAGGAGACTTGGGCTGTTTTCCACAGGGGTTATAGCGTTTTACATTCCCACCCCAGTGCCCAGCGTTCCCATTTCTCTATATCCTCACCAACACATGGTGATGGATATATGTATATTTTAGAGTGGACACTGAGAGGTGGTATCACATCATGGTTCTGAGGTGGATACCTTGATCTCCAAATTACTGGAAGTAATTTCCAATTATTTCAGAAGTGGATGGTAGGTTATAAGCGTGCTCTATCATGAGATGTAAGTCCACATTCTCCCTCCCTTGGGGACCCAGGTTCTCTGTTTCCTAATCAACAAGGCTCTTTATCTACACATCCAGAAAGCATATTTGCTGGGTTCTTTTTCTTTTGTCTCTGTATTTCTCATCTCAGGAATGAGTGTGCATGTGTGTGGGTACCTCAGCTCCCCTTGACAATGGTATGCTTGCAGAAAAAAAAATCCCAAATTAGAACACCTAAAGAGCAATACTGGAGTTGAACACACATAAGCATCAAAGCGGAGGGCAGGATGAAGCTGCCCTAGGCCTGTGGGGACAGGCCCTATAGTGCCCATGGCTACTGACCTAGAGGACAGTAATTACTCAATAAATACTTCCTGAATTTGTGTTGAATAGATGAACAAAAAGCAGTGACAGGAGATTCTATTGTGCATGTAATCCAATCTCTAGAACACTCCCTGAAAGTTTTCCACTAAGAAGCAGAAGAAAATAAAACAAAATCAGAGCCCAGGAAGACATGGCAATTCAACCCTCTGCCATCATGGCAGATGAGGCCCCCAGTGAGGCACGCTATACACGCTGACAGCCTTCATAACTGCTCTGAGAGGTGCTGCCAGTAGCTGCCTGGTAAGGATGAGAAAAGGAAGGTGCAGAGGGATGGAATTCCTTTGCCCAGCCTTCCTCCTGATTCTGTACGGCCTCCCCAATCAAAACCACTTATGAATGCCTAGATTCTAAAAGTGTCTGCAAAGCATCTATAAGATGTGACTCTCACAGCTGCAGAGTTTAACCAGGGTCCTCCATGGAGATAATCACCCCTGAAAGGGTAGCTTTACTCCCTACAGCAAATTCCCTCATTAAGACACTTACAGTCCATGTTTCCATATAGGAACCTCTCGCGAGCTGACCATTTGCTATTCTGTTCTCAGAACTATGTACTTATCAGTGGATAAAACTAGCACCTAGGGAAGCTGAATCCAGAATCTGAGTAAGGTGTTATTGAATCAGTTTTTCCCCTCTTCCTCCCTCCCCCCATCACCCCTATGCGCATACACACACACACACACACACACACACACACAAGAAAACAACAACAACAACAAATGAACAGATCAGCTCTGATATCTGATGGAAATTCTTATTCAGGGCTGGGGCTATAGCTCAGTTGGTAGAGTACTTGCCTAGGACACACAAGGCCCTGGGTTCAATCCCCAACACCACCACCACAAAAAGAAAATACCTATTCAAAATATGCTCTACTGAGGGAAAGAACCAGTCTTTTCATCCCATTTCTTAAAAAGCAATAAAATTAAAAGCAATTAAACACAGGCGCCCTTTTGGAAGGCACGCGTGAGAATGCTCTGACTTGCATACCTGAGGTATGATGGACATCTTCTTCCTTAAATCATGAAGTCCAATTTCAGTTGTCAAGATCTTATCGATCCAAATTTTTCCTTCAGGTTCTGACAATCTAAAAAGGGCCGAGATGAGGGAACTTTTCCCAGCTCCTGTTCTTCCCACAATTCCAACCTACAGAGAGATCCAGGAGGGGGGAGGACATTTAATAATATGCAACACATCTGGAAGAACACTCTGGTTTCCGAAGGTGAATTATAGAGTTCTATACAGAACATCGTCTGAAAGCTTCTCGACCTCGGCACTGTCCACATTTTGGGATCGACATATCTTCATGATGGACACAGTACCCCTGGATGCTCATCAGTACCCCTGGTCTGAACCTACTGGGTACCAGCAGCAGCACCCAATTGTAAGAACCCAAAACATTACACACTGACAAATGTCCCCTGGGGGCCCAAATGCCCCTGGACGAGATCCATTGGTCTACAGAAGAGTTAAAAATCAGCCATCCGTCTGCTGGCTGGAAAGACCCAGGGCATGTGGAAAAGTCAGCTCTTGAACGCTTTAATTCCAAGGTCTAGAGATTTTGAATCTTGAGAATTTCTTGGATAACTTCACAGAGATGTTAATAACTTCAGTCAGAAGCACTATATATAAACAAGTATTAGTTTTCCCAGAATCCTATCGTTTAAGACAAATTATTCTTTGGCAGAGAACCTAAATCAATGCAGATGCTAAATATCTGGTTACATTTGTTTAAAATGTCTTAAAATGTTTGTTAGTCTTGGGTTTTAACAGAATGTAACCAGTAGCCAAAACAAGCAACAATGAGATCAACACCAACACCACCAATAATATTTGCTATTGACATGGGACCTTTCATCTGGGCAGTTCAGAAAGCATTTTACAAATCAATTAATACTTATAACTGCCCCTTGAAAAAGAGTCATCTCAAGTGATCATTCCTCTTATTAAAGCCAAAGTAGAGAGAAATGAAGTGCATGGGCAATAAGATCAAAGAATCAATATACTACAGGCAAAAAGCTGGTCAGGAATCAAACTGTACTGTAATAACTAGCTTGAACCTGTAAACAAAAAAAAAAAATGGCCTTTTTACCAATGAGGTTGCTCAACTGCAAATTCCTTGGTGAGAGCTTCTAAAAAATGATATCATCCTTATTTAAAAATTTGGAATCAATGAAGAAAATAAGACATGTCTTCAATCACTGGTAAATTAATTCATTTAAAATAAGTAAGTTAATTACATTTAAAATAAACTGCTTCAAACAGAGAGGAATTAAACTTTCCTGCATGCTGATTACGTGCTGGGGACTTTATACATCATCTTATTTGAATTCATTAAAATAAAACTTACTCTTTATCAATAAAGGCATTTAAAATTATCAAGATTAAATGTCGGAAAAGTGGCTTCATCTAATGAAAATAAGCTTTGGAGGGCCATTACCTACTTTATGGGAAATCCTAAATTTGGCACTGGCGGGCAGGAGTGCTGGGGATTGAACCCAGGGACACTTTACCACTGAGTTATGATCCCAGCTCTTATTTACTTTGAGACACCATCTCCCTAAAATGCCCAGACTGGCTTCAAACTTATGATCCCCCTACCTCAGCCTCCTAAGTAACTAGGATAACAGGTACTACATCAGCTGGTGGAATCTTAATTTATATGTTATGGATGAACTAACTTCTCAGCTGCTTTCTGCACGCATGTATGTATGCCCCAGGGTATACACATGTGGTTTGTGTTTGCCTCTGTCTTCTCTGGGTGCCCTCTTGTGTAAATCAGCACACATGAGGACATAGGCAGATACTACATTGGAGAGTACTGTGGATACCCAGAAGCTATCAGCTCCCTGAGAAACTGATCCATCTGTGTAAACTCAAAGAAAACTTAGCTCTAGCTATTTCTCTCTGCCATTCAAAGTCATCAAAAGTATAGTCTGAAAGATTTTCACAGGGTCTGACTGGATGCCGGAGGAGAATGTCCCTAGCATCAGTAAGTATGTGTTCATCCCACTAAAGGAACATGTTGAGATGCTTTTGCTTTAACTGCTTTGCAACTGCTCCTTTGTGCTTTCTCAGCCAGGCCAGGGTTGGTCTCTGTCAAATGCATCAACATGTTAGATGTCTGTATTTGGACTTTTCTGCATACATCAAACTCAGCATGATCAATACCCAGTGCCTCAGTTAAAAGAGCCGCTGCTTCAAGTCTCCCTTTTGCAATCTCCTGACTACTCTCCCAGGTTTTGGGTTCTAAGTATCCACCTTACTTCCAACTTCCTCCAAAGATAGCCTGGCATCAAGCCCTGAAGAGTTAATATCTGTGCCTTGATTTGACCCTTCAGTTAAAGTCCCTTAGCCATTGCCTACACTCAGGAATGCTGCTGGAATCCCTCCACCCACCCACCCACAGTGCTGGGGATGGAACCCAGGGCCTCTCCCATGTCAGGCAAGCTACCCCTCAGCCCTGCATTGCCTTTTAAATATTAAAACAAACTTTTCCTAATTATAGTCAGTGCAAATGAATATGAAAAGTACTACCCAGAGCCCAGGACTCTGACAGAAGCATTCTTCATGTGTGAATGCAACTGTGTGTGTGTGTGTGTGTTCTTAAAGTTACAAAATCACGTTTAAACAAAGTGAGATTAATATAAACATATTGTTGTTCCCTGTTTCATTTACTATTTCCTTAAAATATTTAAGAGGCACATAATATTAAAGCATATATGATCATTTATTTAATAAATCTACTCTCTCTAGATGTTTAGGCTGTATCCAATGTTTTGCTATTATAAATAACCTCATGTTAAATATTCTTGAAGCTAAATCTTTGAAAATAACTAATTATTTCCTGAAGATGAATTCCTTAGACGTGGGACTTCTGAGCAACAGGTACGAACACTTTCAAAGGAGGCTGTTTAGCACTGCCAAACTACCCTCCAGAAAGAGGATCCTAATCTCTACTGTCTCTGGCTCCCTGCTCACTCACCAACCTGGGTTTTGTAACTCTGTTTTAATAGACCTTAGTTCGATTCCCTGAGTGGCATCATTTTCCCCATTAACATCTTGCTAGGAGCACAGGACAGCTTCTGGCTTCCAGTCCCCTGCTGGGGTCTTCTCGCTGGGATCCTGGGCACTCAATTCTCAGCCTCAGCCTCATTGGAAACTTCCTCTACACACATTCCCAAGCAACCTTCCCATCTCAGTGAAGTGAGAGCTTCCCTAGGGGAACTGGGTGCTTGAGGCCTGAACCTGAAAATGTGCGCTATACACCCAGTAGTTCCCTCCACTGTGTACCCTGCAGGAGCCTCATTCTTCATTTGTGTGGAATCATAGCCTTGTGCTCAGCTCATGGTGGTGCCCCCACCTAAATTCTTTCACAAGCATTTCCACCTGCTCAAATCCTAGCCATGGGCACCCCAGTTTATTTCAAATGGCTCATTCCATAAAAACTCTACCTGTCCCTTCTGCGGACATGTCCCACCCCAACAGATGTCATATTACCCTTTCCTAAACATCCATTAAACTCTGTGACTCCTCCCATCTCATAGAGCCGTCATTCATACAGGACTCTGCCTCTTCCACTGGACTATATGTGCTGAGGGCAGAATCGATATTGGATTTACCTTCATACATTTATTTACCTGTGATGGCCTGCAAAAAGTAGCAATCCCACAGAGTTGAGAGATTAACTCAGGCTTGAGAAATGTTGGGGATCATCACCACATTGTTCAGGTAAATGATCAGCTGCTCAGAGAAGATGGACACGGCCAATGAGCCCTATAAACAGGATGGCAAATGGCCAGCCCCTTGCTTTCCACAGGACAGACAAGTCATGCATTGTAAGTGGTTAAGTTCACCTTATACCCCAGTAGAATGACGGCTACCGCTGATCAAGCACTGACCACATGGCTCTCTGGGCCAGGTGTTTTCCTGAGGTGAGCTCCTATTACTTCCATTTTGCAAAAGAGAAAAATGGAAGGTTAAAGAATCTGTCTAAAATAATTGAACCTGTAAGTGGTGGAGCAGGACTAGAACCCAGTTCTGTTTGCCTCTTGCTCGCTGTGCTGAGGGCCTCCCTGTCACTTATTCCCTTGATCCATGTGTAAAGGAGACAGTGGGGAAGGTGTGGCCACCATAGAGACCCTGTTGCTAGGCCTGGAGAGCATGCTGCAGATGCCAGTGCGTAATGCAGGGGTTGTACAAGAATTTTGTTCACTCTGAGCAGATCACAGTTGGTGACAGAAGAAACCTGCAAGTCAGGGACAGGCATGGGTCACCCAAGAAAAAGGACAGATTAGATCTAGTGTTCTACTGGGACAGAGAGACTTTTTTAATAACATCAGGTTATGAAAGGAACTTAAGTGCCTGAGCTGGTGCAGAGACAGAGACAGCTATGTGGGGATGGCTAAATAGCAGATGAAAATAATCTGCAACAGAAGACAGGTTCTACTGGAAAGATGCAAATAAACACATCAACTTAGGATCATACAGAATTAACTATAAGGTAAACTTATGGTTTATACTATAGAAAAGTTTAAAAACAAACAAACAAACAAAAAAAACCCTGTAAGGTATTAAGTGGCCCAGGGCCCTCCAGAGTCTCATGTTTAGTCCCAAGGGGCAATCCATGAGCTCAACTTCATGCTGATGAAGTTTCCTAGAAATCGTGGGTTATTGGTCACAAAAAAACCGCTGTGGGGGACAGAGGACTTCACAGGAGAGTCTCCTGCAAAGGCAACTCTGACAGAGAGCTGGGTCACCTTTGTGATTTTGTTGCTAACAAGTTCCTAGAAGATGCAGGTGCTGCTGGAGCAGCCAGGGCCAGAGAGCAGAGGGGAAATGCAGCCCAGAGCTCCCGGGAGGCGGGCTCTCTGAGAAAAAATTATGTAAAAAAGGAGAAAATGTAGGAAACTCATATTTTTGCACATTATAGCAAGGTCTAGTACACATCTGTAAAAATGTATTATCCAAGTAATAGCTGTGAGCAAGAAAAAAATAACAAACCCAAATCAATCTACCTCTAGAGCTGGAAAATGCTTTAAAATGGCCCAGTACTCTCAAATGATCAAATCAACCACAAAATCACCTAAATGAAAAATGCAGCCAGTGTTTAGAATCGAACCAGGAAGCCTAAGGTGGTGTTTACCTCATTTTTGTTCTTTATTTTTACTTGCTATTTCTTCCATGAATTAAAAACCTGCTTAGTACCGATTATGTTTTCCCATTTACTATAACTTCCAGGAATCTTGGCAGAGAAGACCATTGAAACGGAATAAAGCACTATTTCTGCTGTGTTAGCACATTCCCATGTCCTTGCCTGAAATGGTGACTCTGTCAATCAAGTCCAACACCAAGGGGTGGCCTGCGGTCCCAGGGGCTGGGCACAGGTGTGGCAGAGTTGAAACCTAGCTGGACACAGACAGAGTGAAAGCATTCCATGATGACACTGTATGCCTGCAATCTCTAAAGACACAGATGGAGCTAAGGTGACACTGGGTGGACCAAGGCACACGCTGAAAGTCAAGTTATTGTTGATACTACAACTCGGTCTTCAAAATTAATTTACCCTCAAACATTTTAGCATCTCGGGTGATCCTAGAATTTGGGGGTTTTAAGATCGAGGAATACAAATCTGGGGATATGCATTGTTTTCTAACTTGTAAAGGAGAGGTTCTTCAGTAATTCCTATTTTGTGGCTTTGAGGGAAATTTAAGACGTATGCAAACAACGAAAATTACGGTTGCCACATTCAGATCTGAAAAACGCACCGTGTGCGAGTAAGCAAACATCCTTACAGTCCTGCCAGGAACGGGATTGAGAGACTGGCTTTCATCATAGCTGTAGCTCATGTTCCCTACACAGCCGTCCTCAATGCCTTTGGACCTACAAGGAAGCCGTGGAAATAATTAGGAGCTTGCTTTTGCCAAGTGACTTACTGAAGCTGTTCCCTGGGTACCCTTTGGGCACTAAGTTGTACATTTATTCTTTCATGTCACAAGGGCATCACTCATTAAATCGTGCCTGTGATTAGGCCATTAAATGGGCCTGTGGTGGAAAGAGTTTAGAAGCAGCAGCTCCTAAGGTATTTAACACTCCAGGGGCTGGGGTGCAGCTCGGTGGTAGAGTGCTTACCTAGCATGTGCAAAGCCCTGAGCTCAAGCAAGCCCTAGTATTGTAAAAGGGGAAAAGTACTTAATGCTCCCATCTAGGGAATGGGCTGTTCACAGGGTCACCTTGTGAGTGGGTTTTGTCCTAGGGGTCCTTCCTACCTGCACATTATGCTCCCAGACAGCTTTCCTCAGCACCCACCACGTGCCCTGCAGAATGCCATTTAATGGGACACAGGAATGTTCCCTAATCTTAATAAGCTGTCCCTCTGTGCACATACATCACATTTTGCATATCCATTCACCAGTTGATGGACACTCAGGTTGCTCTCACCCTTTTTTGTGAACATGGGTGGACCACAAGTGCCATCTTCAAGTACCTAGAACATGATGTGGAAGAACAGACTCTCAGAGGCAGAGGTTTTAGCTGACTCTGAAAATGAGGAGACTTTCTGCAGCCAGATAGCAGCTGGTATGCTGGGAGACGGAAGGACAGGTCCTTTGGGAGAACAGGGGACACTCAGAGTGTGGGGATGTCTGCATGTAGGAGTCAAGGCAGGAGGGCCAGGTGGGGAAAGAGCTCCCTACTGCCTGTTTTGCTCTGGTCTAGTCCTTGCAGGAGCCTGCCCTAGTTCCTGACAAGGGAATGAAAGGACATTGGTGGCAGGTGTAGTTGCTGATAGAACCAATCCACACACCTCTCTGCAGTGTCCCCAGAACCTCCGGGATTTCCCTTCTTTGACTCTGAGTGAGTCTCTGGGCCCTTTGCTGCCTCTCCAGCATGAGGCTCTGGTTTCTGAGCCCCAGGGTTGTGGCTTCTGGGTTTTTCTCCGGTGGCTGAGAAGTAGCCACACAGCTCCAGCAGGAGCAGGCCTGGGTCTGGGGCCTGCGAGGGTCACAGCAGCCCTCCAGGCCGGGAACCCCTGTGTGGTGGGAGGCCAGGGAGCAAAGGAGAGTACAGGTTGCATGAAGGAAAGGAAGGAAAAGAAAAGGGACAAAGGACAACAAAGGAAGGGCTGGACGGAAGCTGCTGCGGTGACAGGGAGGAAAGTACCCGAGCAGGTCAAGGAGCAGGAAGTGATGGGAACTAGACACGGAAGCCCTGGTGACAAGGAGCCAAGGTTGACTTTCCAGGTGTAATCAGGAATAATCAGATGTCAAACATAGTATCCCAAGTCCCTTAAGTGCCAGCTCAGGGCCCAACACCACCAGGAGGCAGCTCACCGCAGGAAGAAAGAAATGCTGGTTTCCAAGGAAGATTTATCTATTTATATCTGATCTAATTTTTTCCAAGAGGAACCAAATGTCCTCCACAGGTCTAGAGCAAGACAACAAGCAGACACGGAACTAAATCTTTAGCTGATTTGCTAACAAAGATGGTTTAAACGAACCTTTTCTCTCGACTTAATGAGTGCCGTCAGGTGCTTTAATACCAGAGGCCCGTCTAGACTGTAGGTGAAGTTGACGTTGTCGAAGACGATCACGCCTTCCTGGGGCCAGGTGGGTGGTGGGCGCTTCTGGTATTCCCAAGGCGCTTCTTTTTCTAGATCCGTGTATTCAATGACCCGCTCCACTGAGATCATCTGAAAGAGACGTGGCATCCACACGGGTTAGGTGCAGGGATTGTGAGGGAACGCTTGTGATTTACACATGCTGGTCAAGGAGAATGCAGGTCTTAATACCCATCAAGACTGACAAGGATCCACAGTCTCGTTCCTCACCATGGCCCCTTCCTTCACTTACAGCTACTTCCCTCAACACAGACGAAATAAAAGGCATTTTTAAAAAGGTTGGTAGGGATCCCAGTCTTTTGCTACACAGCGGCCACTGGCTGTACATGAGTTAAATCAGATAGTCATCCAAACTCTTCATAATAATCTTCTCGAGCAAAACTGAAATATTCCATGTTCATTGTCTATCTTTGCAGGAGAAGGTAGAACTGTGTAGAAAAGGAAGTCACTTACAGGTGGAATGAGCCCTCCTAAACAACTCCACCCTGGTTCCCTACCAGGAAGGAATACCAGCGGCCCCAAGGCCTCCTGCCTTCTGCTCATTGCCTAAGAGAAGAAATGCTAGAACTGGATGTGGGGAGTGGGGAGACCCTAAATAAACAACCTCAAAATACCGAATTTTTCTTTTACAGAGAATGAGAAATCACCCATTAAGAAACAAAAATAAACAGGCCCCTAAGAAATTAGCTTATATCCTCTCTAGGATTTCAGAACTTCCCTCCTACAGAGACATTTATTGCATTTGAGGACAGCTTGTGATGAATATAAAACCTGCTGACATAGCATACATGAGACTGAGAAAAAGATGTATATATTTTATTTTACATTAACTTTAAACAGATGGAGGAAGGATCTGAAAAAACTCTGTTAGCTCCGATGTAAAAATAACAGTTTTAATATTTTACATAAGAATGGCTTTTATGCTATTTAATGGCAAGGAGACTTGAAAAGGCCAAGAACGTTCAAATAAACATTACCATATTCTCCACTTCGGCGCTTTGTCTAACAGACCACTGGAACATCCCCATGAGCGTGAGGGCGTAGGACAAGGCCAGGCCAACCTGCCCAGCATCCAAAGCTACGTGACAGGAAGGAGGGAACAACATCAGTCTCATTATAACCACACCTGGCTCCTTCTGCCACATTACCAAGAGAACCCAACAAGTTGCAGATAACGATAGTAACCATGATGCTTCTACTAGCTGTTGGTTGAGACCATAATACACCTTTAAAAACCCATGAGGAATTTTAGAAAGAATTATTAAATGAGTTTATTAATCCCAACAGGATCAATATACATTTGAAAAACAAATATGATATGCGTGAGGACTAGCGTCATTATTCACATACTCATCACCGTGGTTTCAAAGCCCATTATGTCATACTGCTTTCTACGTCCAACATGACCACAGCTGGGGACAATTTTTTTTTTTAAAGTAAACTACTGCTCTCCTGGTTCTATTATTAAATACTGAAATTCAGCGGTGTTACTATGGGAGAGTCAGGGGTGGCAAATTCATGCCAGACACGCCAACACCTGCTCATCTGGTACCCATCTGGCAGAGACAATGATGCTCTTTCTTACTGAGAATCTTTGTTGACCTAGAGCACGAGCAACTACACCGATCATCCAAAAGCAAGACCTAAAGCCATAAGCTGGACAAGATGCTTCAGAACAAACTTGGGTCACTCCTTACAACTACAGACAGGACTGGGAATGTGCAGAATGACATTTGCACAGCCCTCAACCCATTCAAAGAAAGATAAAAGGGACCCGTCAAGACCCCAGGGACTCCTCTAAATGGGTCACATTGCAGAATCATAACCATCCTGACATGCTGTAAAGCTTTCATACACTTCATTAGAACCAAGAGAATATGGCATTGGACAAGGTGGCAAGAGTTTAATTTAATAACTGTAAACACAGCTATAAATTGTAATCATACCATAAATAGTTATTCACATCTGCACTTACTTTTTGCCAGAATCAGGGACCCAAAGGCAACCACGATGACAAAGATGGCACAGATGGCATCCAGGCGCACGGCGAACCATCGTGATGTCGTCAAAAACAAGAACCAAGCCTCTGGATGCGCGAACCGTTGACAAGCAAGATGAACAAGTACAAAGCCACATCAGCCACAGTGAATGTGAGAGGCATGAAGATGCATGTGCCAGGTGGGACCCCACAGATACACACGCCAGAAACCTGAGGATTCCAGAAAGCTGGGCCTTGGAAGCGATGCACACACAACACACGGAGCTGTGCAGGAAGAGGCACTAACACTGCAACCCAGAGAAACGGTGCCATCGGAGTACAGGACACGCAAAAATGGTCTCGGGTGCCCTTTTCACAACGCTGAACCATGAAGTGAAGTTCACCAGCTCATGTGGTTGATGGTTTCCGGTTCTCCAGAGTACAGCTCTCACTTTGTATCTGGCACCTTCCATACTTAGTAGAGGGCCCTGTCCACAGGGCACATTGCTTAGGGGCTATCTCTGAATGACCAGTTTGTCAAAGGACCTGCGTGTGGTTTCTCATGTGCCATTTAATCACCAAAATACAATCAAGGTCGGAAAGATGGGCCAGAATTTTATACATTTACAGGAAATCCTGAAGGTTTTAAATGGATAAAAAAAAAAAATCACTGATACAAAGAATAGTACTGGTCAAGTGGGTGGCAGATCTGATAATCAGGAGATGGATTTCTGCAGTCAATTCTGCTGCCCCATGGGCTGGGAAGTGCTCCTCACGTGATCTAGTGAACATTTTATTGGAACACAGCCATGGCCTCTTGCTGATCTGCTGTCTGCTTGATTTCCTGCTGCAGCAGCAAAGGTGGGCAACTTCAGTAGGGACAAAGGGCACCCAGAGCCTACGCTATTACTAGATGGTGTTTTGCAAAAATGTTTAATGACTCCTGCCCCAAAGGGACAGAGACCAAGGGCCCAGAGAGGGAGTACCATGCAAGCCAGCAGAGGGAAAGCAGGAAAGATTCTGAGAGGAGCCAAAGTCTAGGGGCAAAGGAGAGGAAGACAGGATATGAGGTTATGCTCAGAGACAGGCAGAGGTGCTGGCCAACAAGGCTGAGGAAGCAGTGGTCCCAGCCATTGAAACCACTTCCAGAAGTGCACAGACCTGAATGCAAGTCCTGGTGAGCATCAAATAGCTCCTGACACCTCTCTTCAGCTCTGTATGCCCGGATGGTCCAGAGCCCCTGGAGGGAAGATGACAAGTGGGAAAATACTGGACTCCGTGCTGCAGAAAGAGACAGACACAAAACAGAGCAAACTCAGAGACTGGACACAGGCAAACCAGATAGCCTTCTCTGTTCTATGGTCATGTGTCCACCAAGCAGCATACTCAGGGCTTTGAGTTTCCAGAAGAAATGTCCCCAGAACCCTGGAGAGGACCCTACCCATTTACCCTCAACCCCTGGTCAGATCATCCCTCACTATGTTGGTGGGAAAATGAAGGTCTCTCTGTTTGACTCACCTTTGACCAAATTCAAATCTGGTTATTTTTTTCCTTTGCAAACCCATCCTTCAAGATCCTTTCTTCCATATTCTTCCTGGGTATCTCTTTGGTCAGGAATTATTTATTCACTCATTTTTGAGACATTAGCATTTTAAAAAATTGTTATAGCACTCACTCTACTAAACTATAAGGTCTTTTCCCGCCTTAGATTTTAAAGAGCCAAGATATAGCCACTGTATCTCAGTAACTAGAATGGCACCTGGCACAGGACAGGAACCCAGTGAATAGGCTGCATCCTGAGGAGATCTTTCTGTGCCTACTGGTGCAAGATGAGTCCTGTGTGGTCACTACGTATCTGGATGCCACACTGCACTTGCCCACAGGACCTGCCCAGTCGAGATATCATTGACTGGCCTTGGCTTCAGCTCCAGAAGCCTGAGGGATAGAAATTCATCCTGGTGTGTGACGGTCACTGTGACCTGGGCCACTGCCCTCGCCTTTCTGGAATCTGTCTGTAGTGCAGTGGCTTCATCATCTTAACAGAATTTTAAAAGTTGAATTCTCCTTTGTGTATCTCTGTTTTGATTTAGAGCACAATGTCCATGACGGGTCATGTGTTTTGAGCTTGCTGTCTCATGACCACCAGAGCCCAGCCCTGCGCATGGGGGGATGTGTGGGTTGCCTGTCACCAGGCAGCAATGGTTCCCTGACAGTTTCACTCTGCATTGTGCAGAAGGCTGTACTGGGACCGGGATGCAGCAGGAACACATGATCCCTGCACACGGCCTCTACCATCATCTGGGATGATGGAAAATACTGACAAATCCCTGTCACCTGACCATAGCCTGGAGAAGACCTGCTGGTAAAACATGGAGTGTTTGGGAAAAGCAAAGGTAATTTCATCTTACAAGAGGCTGCATATGTTTTATAAAATTACTAGGAATAGAAAAATCAAGAGAAAAACTCCAACTTACTCATTGGGGCATCCAATGGCCTATGTGGCTACGCAGTTCTACATGGAGGTGCTCACTGTGCACACGGGTACAGCACGAGATCAGGAGGTACTGGGCACACATGTGCCAGGGCAAGGAACAGAGCCAGCAGTCAGACTCCACAGTTGCATGAGCAAGGAAGAAGCAGATGGCCAACTAAGAGCCACTGTGGTCACTGGTGGCACAACCTGGACCATGGGGTTAGTTGACTGCCGGCTCCTCCCTGGGACTTTCCCAACAAGGATGTCTGACTGGGAAGACTAACTATTAGGAGTCCTCTCCTGAGATACTGCTTTCAGAAAGAAAAGCTTTCCTGAACATGGATTTACCAACCAACACATGATCTACTAATGCACGTCATTTAGGCAGAGCCCTGGGTGAATGTGGTGGTTCTGACTGTCCACCTACATGTGTGTGTTCTCACTCTGACATCCATGCTCTCTCTCATTCTCAGACATACTGAGCAGTGAATTGCTATTCATTTTAGCTTCCTTTAACCTTGCACTTTTAAGATGGTAACATGAACATAAGACTAAGCTCATGATCCAAATAAATAAGGCTGCGAGCCCTGCATGGTCTTTCTGAAGACATCAACAGATGGCCCTGCTAACCCCCAGAGGTTGGTCACCCTGCACACAGGGTATTCTGAGAGATGACCAGCTCAGGAGGGTTCTAGGCCCCGTTACCCTACCAAGAGCATGCTAAGGGTCTGCCTTCAGAAAGCCCGAGGACTTAGTCTACTGAGCTCTCATTTCTAGAACAAGGCAGGGTCTTAACCCTGTTTCATCAAAGGCATGCAGCCGAGGCAGACATGGTGGCCACCCAGGCAGTTCTTCAGCCTGGCCATTCTCAGCTGCTACCCGTACCAGAAAATCAAAGTCACCACTGGTTCTCTTCTGGCTGGGTTTGAGAGCAGGGTTGACTTTAGAAATCCGGTGTCACCCCAGCCTTGAACACCAGGAAACCCAAAGCCAACTGGGGTACTTCACCTTACCCCAAGAGTTACTGAGGTCCAGAAGAAATCTGTACCATTGAAAGATAATCCTGTTTCTTCCACACTCGACTCAGGGGTGTGGGGGATGCCTGTGGGGTGAGCTGAAGGACTGTAATGCAATTAACTAGAACTGAGAGCACCCCCTAAAGGCCTGCAGATGGACCCAAGGGAAGAGCAGGGCAGAGAGATGCAGGTGGAGATCCTGGCCTGCCAGTGTTGCCACAGGTATCATTAATGCTATGGGAGGCCTTCTGGTTATTACTGTGGTTTTAATCCTGTGTGTGCAGGATTCCAGGGCCTTTGGTATAGCCAGCAGGCACTTTCCAAGCACTGTCTCAGGGAATTCTCAGAAAAACCCCAAAGGGCAGGTGTTTTTATTGTTTTAACAAAAGGAAAACAGACTTCAGGACCATTAAGGCCCAAGATTAAATAAATTAACCAGAGTAATATAGTTAGGAGCCAGAGTGAACCTGCCTTATTGCCAAGGCTGTGCTTTTCATCTGAGCCACAGTATCCCAAAGGGAGAAGAGCTGGAGTTCAAGATTCTCATGCATCACTGGATGCATTTTTCTCTAGGCTCTGCAGCCCATAGTCAGAAAACTCGTAATTTTTTTAAAAATAATTTTTAGTTGTCAATGGACTTTTATTTTATTTATTTATATGTGGGGCTAAGAATTGAACCCAGTGCCTCGCACATGATAGGCAGGCGCTCTGCTAATGAGGAACTGCTCCAGCCCCCCAAAAAAACTCCTAACTCTTACTTAGCTAATATTCAATAGGCTTCCCCATTACTGTACCTCTTATTAAGCACCCTAGGTTAAACAATATCCCTGGAAATCTGGATGGGAATTCCTTACAATAGCAGACTCAAGGATGTATGGTCTGAACGCATGTGGCATTTACATTAACACTCAGCTAGCCAATGCCCACGGCAGACATAGCTAATGGATCATGGCACCCTCACAGTCAGGCACTTGGATATGGGGTCACAATCCAGGCACTGTAGAATGAAAAAAGTTCAGTAGAGAAACGCAACCAAGTGCCATCCTGGTTTTATGCCCTTCTCTATGACTGATTGTTGCTACATTCGTTTTTTCAAAAATAAACCATTGTGTTCAAGACTGCTTAAATATCAGCCTAAGATTTCAGAAGCAGCCAGGGCAGTATGATTTGAAAATAAACCTTGGGACTCTAGATGGCCTCAAAGAATATTTGGTTATGTGGGGGTAAAAGGGAACATCCTGCAGTCAACTAGGGTACAGGAAACCCACATTCCACAGGGCCATGACAAAGTTGTAGAATTTCCAGATCAAAATTATCTCAAAGTTTTTGGTAGATATGCCTTGGAAAGAAAAATCTTGCGTGCTTCTTGCAAAAGCCTTCCTTGGGTCCTCTCTCCTCACTTGCACATGGGTGGGAAGTGGCTCTTGAACAGTGCACAGTCTTCCCAGGGGTTCCTTCTGGAACAAACAACCCTTCCTTGAATATACCCGAAGCTTCTTTGCAATAGGATGGTGAATAACTCCATTTCATGAGCAGCCTCCACTCATAAAATGTCAAAAGCCTTGTTTCTGTGAAATAGACTAGGGCCAAAGAAACACACAAAGGAGAGTCTCCAGCAATGCCAATTCCCAATGCCCTGCAGCAATTGATACGAGCAGAGTCCTACGCACACGCTTGGCACACAGACTGCAGCATTCTGCTTCCCGCTGAATTCTCAGCAATGGAACCTCAAAGCAATTTGGCTCATTCCCCTGGTGCCTGAGAATTTTCTTCTACAGCTTTTCTGAAGCTGCAGGGCTCCATGCAGCCACCAGAAGCCACCAAAAATCAAACAAACAACCTACCCTCCATTGCCACAATAAACAGATAATTTTTCCACGGGGAACTACAGGACTCAATATTCCTGGTCCTGGTGTGGCTTTCAAAAAGGTGACTTGGCCTTCAATTGTACTAACTATCCATCACACAGGTTTTCTGACACCATATCTTCCTTTTTTAAAAAATTTTTGGCTGGTATCCTTGTACTTTAAAAAATATATAACAATTCTATTACCCTTATAGCTTTAAATTTTACTAAGAATGGAATGCATTAGTTTGTGCATTCATGAGATGAGCTCTGGGTTATTTCATCCTCCGCAATTACCTGCAGAATACAGTGATTAATCATAAAACGGTTTCCTCTGTTATCCGAAAACTAGGAAGTTGAAGGGAGCAATAGACTGAATGCATTCTAAACTGATTGCCCTCCTCCTGGTCTCCAAAAGAGATTATTATCAGCATCCACCTATTACCAGCCTAAGGGGGGAAACCTCAGCATGGAATTGCACCAAGTACCACTGATAATAAGGAGCACAACCAGAAATCACAATGCTTATACTTTCACAACACTTAACTGCAGCTTATTTCCAGTAGGAAAAAAATGTATTTTTCAAATATATTATTTCTGATATTTTTGGATATAGTTCTGATACTTCCTCCTTTCCTTTCTCTTAACATTTTCCTTCCTTTGCCACTTCCGGTATCTTCAAAAAAGAAAACTTCCCCGATTATTTCCCTTCTAAATTAGTTCTAACACATGAGGAACTATTTCATTTATTAGAAAAATGCTTCTGAAGTGCTGCTCTGTGCACCGGAAGCATGTCATGGGCAAGAGTGGCAGAGGAGGGTCCCCAGTCTTCATGGATTATTCCAGGGGAGTATTTTTCTACCTTGTCCTTCATTCCTTTTTCCAGTTAAATTGAAAAATTGCACCCAGCAGGACACCAGTTCCACCTGCCCTAAGGGCCACACTGACTCACGCTGACCATAATACTGTGCTCAATTACCTGATGTTAACGAAGTGAGAAATTCTGAAAGATAGAGTGTGCAGAATTTCAGAGGGCTCCTTAATCACCGCACAAATGGAAGCTCAGTCGCACTGCCATACCCACCTGAGACCCTCGGTACTCACTTGTAGATTCCAGGCGCTTGACATCCCTCGAGGTTTCCAGGAAGTATCGTCGGAGAACCAAGAAAAGGATGGCCAGGGGAACCAGCGGAATCGCGATCCAAGGAATCACTGCCACGGCCACAGACACCACACTGATCACCACCAGCAATGTCTGGAACGCAGAGATACAGGGCCTCCTTACCCAGAGGGCTTCTCAGCCACGAGCGCTAATGGTTAGTTTGGTGAGGATTCTAGTCCTTTCCTTGAAAGATTTGTTGGAAGAGGAAAAGCTTTCCCATCCCAGGAAATAAAGGCACAAGTGACAGAGAAGTCACCCATCACTTCTGGGCTCCAAGCACCATGCAAAGAAGGTCCTATGCATCCATTCTTTTGATACAGTCCACATCCCTAAGAGACAGGCATTATTATTTTCCATATTTAATGATTAGAAAGCTGGGATCCAGAGAAAGTCTGCATCCCAAACTACCACAAATCAAGTACATGCTACTGGAAACTGGCAAGCTGGTGCCACAGATGAAGCTTCCAGGGACCTCAGTTAAGAATGGGTGGCTACAGGCAAATTCAGGGCTCAGAAAAGGAGGAAATTAATTTCAATCTTTCTCTTTGGAAGAGGGGAGGCTCCATCTTGATCCTCTACCCTCTGTTAATATTCACTGAGTGCTGACTGTGTATCTGGCCCTATGTTAAACCCGTCAGATGAATCAACTACTTCGAGGTTCACAGACCCCCAGGAAGTAGTAGTATCATCTCAGAGACACTGAGGCACAGGAGAGGAGAAGCAACTTGATCAGATTTACACAGCATCAGGCACAGCACTGGGGGCCTCACACACTTACCCACCACATGTGCCCTCAGTATACAGCCAGCTTTTCATTGTTGAGGAAAAAGTTTTTATGTGGACCTCATCATTTGTCTTTAATTTTTCTTCTAAACACCCTTACTTGAGGAATTCCAGAGTTTGTCAACAGGCCCAATAAAGAACAGACAAGACAAATGTGACAAATATTTTAACATTTCGTAGAAATCCTTGGAAGAGTTTTGATAGTAAGTAAACAATCTTCGATGTCCAGAAAGCTTTTTTGTTGTTTTTTTTTTAAATCTTATCTCCTGGATATACATTTGCTTTTCTGCCATTAGGATAAGCATTTGAAATGTCTATTTCAAAGGCAAATGATGATCGCAAGAGCAGATGCCACTTATCAGGCATCTAAGGGTGCAGGGCTCTGTGCTAATATTCACTTAATTATCAAGTCCCCCCCGTGAGCTGATTTTGTTTAGGGAAACTATCTTACTCTTAAAAAGACAGCAAGCAGAAAAAACCCAAGCCACTGGGTGATGCTGATTTAAGTATTCAGCTTTATCAAATAAGAATAAAATTGTGGCCTGTGACTTAAGATGACGGGGCTGCAATTGAACACTCAAGTCCACCCTCGAGGGAAGCACACACTAGCTCCCTGAGGAGGGCAGAAGGGCCCTGGTCCCAGGCTCTGAAGTTCACAATCTTACACAAAAACATATCACTCAGCAGAAGGGACCGAGTGCTGGGGAAATACAGGGAGGCGTAGACAAGCCCCGTGTGAGAGTTTTGAGGATCAGAGGCTGACTTCACAGATACACGTGACAGGGCGGCTGTCACAGGTGCCTGCCTGGGAAACACAGAGTTCTGCAGACTTGGCACCAGCACGTGTGCCCCGTGCTCACCAGTTCTGTGCCTTCCTTCCTTTCCCCAAGGAAAGGGTGAGTGGGTGACACCCCAGACACCTGTTAGTGTGCAGAGCTCCTCAAGTCAGTTTTCGGGGAGGATCATGGCAACCATATTGTAATCAGAAGAGGACTGTCACTGTCATTTGTGTAATAAGAAAACTGGTCCCTAAGAGGTTCCGAGCATGGCCTACGAGTTCCCATGAAGTCACAGTGCCATGGAGAAGGCTAAGAGTGGTTGGTATTCAGGGAGCCCGAGGTCTCAGCGGCCTGCAGGACCCAAAGCAGGGAAGTGCTAAGCCCCCCAGAGCTGGAGGAAAGAGGAAACTTCCAGAGCCATGATCTGATGGCAGGAGCTCCTGGGAGTCAAGGTGGGTACAGACACATGCACCCTCCCGGTCTCTATAGCAACAGCAGTACACAAACCAGAGGGAAGCAGAATGGAGTTTCAGAGGAACAAATCCCGAGTGTGGGAATTCCAGCTGTTCGACCCCTTGCCTTTTCTGTCTACAGATGAACTGGATCATACACTGCTCAAAAGTCAAAAGGTTTCCTGTACGCTCACGAGAAGGACTTTTTAGCGCCTTCCAGGCCTTGTCTTAGGTTCACCATCATTAGTTTTCAGGGGGAAAAAAAATCACCCAGGTAATTATGAGAAAAATACACAACTACAATTTTTAAAGCAAACTTACATCATTTAATAGGGTGATACTCATCAGTTCAATTATCTGGCTCTCTCTAAGGTGAAGGACTTCTAGGGTTCATCTGGCCTGCCACAGGAAGCAGAGTTACGCTTGAACCAAAGTGTCCATTAAAGACAAGTAACTGCTCTCAGAAGCTCCCAAGTTAGTTTCGGTCTTTCAAATCTTATGGGCCCAAATTTGTAAGCAATTCATAGAGGCTTTCTAGTAAGTTCTAATTCCACTTGCGGGTCTTGCTATAAATAGCCTCCCAGTGAGGGGAAAGTCACATTCTCTTCTTTTTCTCATGCATGTGTGTGTGCGCGCGCATATACACACATATACACACAACACAATCTATACACATATATCACACATATAGGTCCCATGCATATATAAACATGTATAATATATAATCATATGTTTATTTGTATATACATATATAAATTTTTCACCATAAGTTTTCTTAAACTCTTCATGAAAATTGGCACAGAATAAAAACACCTAAGCAAAAAGCTACAGTCTGAAGGGGGGAAAAAGAGATTCCAATATGTGATGAAAATTCCTCCCAAGAAATCAGTCTCATCTCTTCCTTCCAGATTCCCAGGGATTCCCAGGAGCTGAATCCATGGTACCCACCAGCCTGCTGCCATGCCAAGGCACAGAGACCAATGATGTGTGTACAGCCTGAAGAAGGGACTGACCCATGCCCTGACACCCTGAAAGGTGAGGGGAGGTGTCATTCTGACACACCTGTCATAGCTGGGAATTCTACCCCAAGTTTTATAATTCTGCATGAACAAATACAAACAAGTCTTGGATAAATGCTTTCACTTGAGACTTCATAACTTGTAGTAGGTATGTAGCTTTTAGAAATGACAACTTAGACCCCGAGGGAAAATTCCTTAAGTCTGGTGTGGAGTGCTAGGATGGATTTAGGGCCAATCATCTTCAATATGAAACAGGAAGGGTGAGACTTCCCATCTCGCTGAATGTAGTAAAAACCAGGCTATGCAAACAGACCCAAAGGTTGGTGGTAGGGATCCAGGGAGACAAGTATTGGCAGTTCTTGCTTCACAAGAAGCAGCTGGGCTTCCCTTATCATTACTCCCAAGTGGGCTGCTTTTGCAGCCAAGAGCCAGAAGAGGAGGAACAGCATATTCAAAGATCTACAGTCCCAGCTGGGCACAGAGGTGTGCACATGTAATTCCAGTGGTGCGCGAGGCTGATGCAAAAGAATGGAGAGTTCGAAGCCAGCTAAGCAACTCAGTGAGACCCTGTCTCTAAATAAAATACAAAATAGAGATGGGCATGTGGCTCAGTGGTCGAGTGCCCCTGAGTTCAATCTCTGGCAATCCCTCCACCCACTCCAACACACTCTCACACACATAGACTGGCAGCTTGATTCCAACCAAGCACACAAGGAAGCAAGCACTTTGTTTCCTAAATGCCTCATGTACCAAAATGACGTTGACTTTCCTCAACCATGTTTAAGGTCTATCTTGCTTAAATGTGCGTTCTTGACATAAAATGGCCACTAAACCTCATGCCTGTTACTGTCCTTTCCAAATATTTTTTCTAATTCTCAGCATTGATAACTTAGAGAACTGGAGGTAACTCAATATTTTTTAATATGCTTGTTTTATTCTGTAACCTTTTTTATTTGTTTGTTTCAAGTCTTTGCTTCTTTTCAGTGAAGAATTACTGTTCTGAAACTGCTGAGAATTTCAGGGATACTAAGAGAAAAGGTACCAAATACTTACTTAGCATATTTAGTATTTAAAAAAACAAAATAATAATAATAATAATAATAATACCACCAGGGTTTGAATCCAGAGGTGCTTAACCACTGAGCCACATACCCAGCCTTTTTTGTTTGTTTATTTTTTGATACAGGGTCTTGCTAAGTTGCTGAGGCCGGCCTTGAACTTGCTATCCTCTTGCCTTAGCCTCCTGAGTTGTTGTGATTACAGGCATGTGCCACCATGCCCAGAATAAAAAAAAAGATAAATTTGGTGTTTCATTTCCAATGCATTATGAACTGTTGTGTCATTATCAAGAGAAACACAAAAGCTAGATAATGTACATTAGTGAATCCCAAGAAATCAAACTGTGTCCGTTCCAGGTCAGCCTCCTTGGTGTAAGCAAGCATCCTGACCTGGGTGTCAGGACGACAAAGGTGAAGGACTTTATTTACCACTCATGGAAAGGATATCCAGAGCACTTCATCCTCAGACAGATCTGCCTGTGAGCAGCTGTTTCCAACAAACCACACTTACATCTAAATGAACTGCTAACGAGGCGTGCAAAAGCAATAAAGGAAAAAAAATGATGCTTATGAAAAATGTTAATTGTGGTGTTTAAAACACTGCTCCCAACCAGGAAAATGTTACTTCCTTGCTAGTACATATGGCAAATGTCCTCAGAATATTGAAGAAATTACACAATTTTCTATATCTAGTTGACAACCAAAGCAAAGTACAATTGCCTTGCCCTTTGAAATACCAGGAAAAAAAAAAAAGATAACACTTCATGATGCTTGCCTTGTGTGCAACCTCTTAAGTATTTCACCTGCATTATCTAACTTCATTCTCATATCTGATCTAAGTAGAAGGGCTTCTCACTGCCATTTACAAAGGAGAAAACAGGCTCAGGGGTTAAGTCAGATAATACAGTCACTTTAATCCCAAGTCTGTTCTCTGAATCTCTGCATGATAGCGCACCCCATATTTGAAAAAATACCTGAATATATTCCTCTTTTACATACTGT